GCAACTGATACGAATTCATAGTAGGTATATCTTTGATCGTTGCATTATGTAATAGTTTTAGTTTTATCGAAAATTGTGTAGGACAAAATATTTGATCTTGAGCTACAAAACCTACATTTTCTTAGAGAGAAAAAAAGTTCTTCACGTTTTTTAAGTAATGATACTGATTGAATCAATTACTCTACGAGTTACATGACAAGTTCAACATTGAATTACACTACCAATATCATTAGTTAATAAGTTTATTTCGCCCAGAGCAAAACAAGTTAAGCTTACATGGTACCTACAGATTGGTCGCTTTATGTCAGTTGGTACAAGCAATTAACTTTTATCTCGCCTTAAAACTCTTTTTCATTTAAAAACAAATTACGCCGATTTAGTTCCTGTCTATAAAATAGATAAAAATAAGCACATATATACAATTAGAGAAACAAAAAGAAAATATTATCAAAATAAAATTAGTAATTCGGATAATTAAGCAAAGGCAGCTTGGAATATCGTAAATGAAATTTCTAACAAAAAGAAAGATAGGAGTAATATATCAATAAAATATAATGAAGTAACAATTGAAGATCATGTTGAGGTTGCTTCAACTTTTAATAGTTTTTTATTAATACACCAAAAAATATTGGTGAGAATATATCTGCTGATAACGTTGATAATAGTAGAGTGTGTGGTACCAAAATAGTAAATCAAACTTTGTTTTTAAACCCTTTCTCCGAAAAGTGAACTATTAAATTTATTAAGAAATAAATTAAAAAATTAGAAATCCGCAGGATCAGACGACGTTCCCATATTTTTAATAAAACGTGTTTTAAAAGTAATAATGCAGTAAATCTATCCTTTCCCGACACTTTAAAGGTGGGAAAAGTACTGCCTATTTTTTAAAAAAGTGATCGTTTATCATTAGAAAACCAGTTACTCTTCCTCTCAGCTTTTCAAAGATTTTTGAATATGCTTATTTAGAACGTTTGCCAAATTTCTTAACCAAAACAAGAATTTTAACTAATAACCAACACGGATTTCGTTCAGGGCGGTCCACTATACACTCTTTTTACGAAGAAGTCATTAGATGTATTGATGCAGGCGAGTGCCCTGTCGGGACTTTCTGTGATCTTAGTAGGGCATTCGACTGCGTTAATCACGATAATTTACTTACCAAACTTATTGCATAAGCGGTGTTCTGTTGAACTGGTTACTGTGTTTTTTAAATTTCAGAAACAATACGTCTCTATACAACACATTAAATCCGATACTTTGAATGAGATCAATTCTGACTATAGCTTAATTGAAATGGGAGTACCGCAGGGCTCTATTCTGGGACCTGTGCTTTTTATTTTATATGTCAATTCAATAAAAAATGTAATAGGTAACGAAGCTTTTACCATGTACGCCGACGATTTATCTCTGTTTATTTCAAGTAACTCGGATAAAAATCTTAACATCGATATTAATAAAACGATTGAAAATATATGTGCATGGTTTAATCAGAACTATTTATATTTAAATGTAAATAGAACGCAAATGATAAGATTTCATAACAGACAGAGAAAATATGACGACCTAACAATAAAATGTAATAACTGTGTCATGTAGAATGACGCTTAAGGCAGTGTTAAATTTCTGGGAATTTATTTCGACGAAACCCTTAATTGGAAAGTGCATTGCAACCATCTTGTTTCAACTTTGAGTTCAGTAAATTTTTTATTTAAAAACAATTTTATTCAAAAATCAGGTAATTAATTTATATTATGCTCAAGTAGAATCGCGTCTTCGTTATGGTGTCTGTTTCTGGGGTGATTCCACCCTCTCACATTCTGTTTTTATTTGAGTGAACAAACCTGCAGAGATATTTTTAAACAATATAAAATTTTAACTTTAGGTTCGTTATTTATATTTGATATGTGTATTTATGTTTTTAAAAATAGGCAAAAATTGTATTTAAGTAGTGACATACATGGTGTAAATACAAGGCATAAAAATAATATTCGGGTACCTTTTTCTAAATTGTTAATAAGTCACCAAATTATTTTGGGCCTAAAATTTTTAATAAATTACCTATTGAATTAAGACAAGTTAAAGTATCTTTTTATCAATTTAAAGTAAAATTAAAATTATATTTAGTGGCCAAATGTTTTTATTCCTTGGGTGAGTTTTTTGCTTCCTGGGTTAAGTTATATTTGTTTTTACTTTAAATATCTGCTATACGCATAAGTGACTATTGTTATACAATTTGTAATTGTCTCAAAACAAAATAAAACATCTAATCAATTTATATTGACTTGTAAGTCAATTTGAGAACAAATGTTTTGATAACGGAAACAGACTTTTCACCTAAACTGTACAATGTGTTATAGTGATTATTGTGACGTGAAGAATTATCAGTTTTCTCAGTCTGAGGTATTTAAAATAAATTCAACCATTTGACTGATTCTTTTGGGGCAAAGGTTAAAGTTAAAGTGCCAGTATGGCAGAAATATCGAATCAAATAAAAAAATAAGTGAAAATGCCATAAATAAATAATTATAGGTATACGATAGGTATGGTATGTTAGTGTAGATACTCTATATATTTTTAAGGCTTCTTCTGACATTTTTTAACTTTTTTCTAATTTTCTGTTATATTTCCGCTGTAAGCAATTTTTATGTCCATTTATGCATCCATACCCCAATACATCTTCCACCGTTTCTTTAAATCAAATCAAGAAATGCCTGATATCTAAATCTTATTTTTAATAGTAATTTTGACCTTTATCCTTAAAAACAAAAACGCCTAAATGATGACATAAGAAAACTCTTATTATTTTCACATAAAGAATCTGTGATCAATGATTTGACCTACTTTTAGATCCAAACTGCATAATATATAGCCCGGTCAAAATAGACATTCAAGGTTCCTATAGAAATTGTCTTTACACTTTTTTCCTGAGAATCACCATTTCTGAGATATAGCGATTCAAAAAGTTGAAAAAATTGTGTTCTCCATAATATGTGCAAGTTTCCACGCCACCTGTGATGTAGTGTACTTGGCGCGTTTTTTACGTGGTTTCCCCAGTAGACCTATTCCACGATCTATTGTAGTCCAGTTTAATTAAATAATATTGTATTAAATAAAAAATGGTACTATTGGAAATGATGAAAGTGGTGTGAATTATGAATAATTGTGGAAAACTATTCGTCTGATTGATAATTATCTAATGGAACTTTAAGTGTAATGTCTTCTTTTTCTTCTCTTCTTCTCCTTCTTTTTCCTGATGGATACAAGTAAATTGTTCTAACAGTGGTGCATCAATGGCGATGGCGATTCAACATTGAAGCACGACTGGTCTTGACAACTGGTCCATGCTAATGAACAAAAGAATCCAACTTTTTTGTAGTCGCACTTAGCACTACACCCCTTTTTGCAATTGCAGAAAGGGGTGATCCAATGTTGAATCGCCATCAGAAGAGGATTCTTACGATATCAGCGAGGAGACATCTGAAGCATCGGTGTTAGAACAATTTACTTGTAGCGAGCAGGAAGAAGAAGAAGGAAGAGAAGAAGAAGACATTACACTTGAAGTTCCGTTAGATAATTATCAATTAGAGAATAGTTTTCCCCAATTATTCATAATTAACACCGCTTACAATATTATTTAATTAAACAGGACCACAATAGATCGTGGAATAGGCCTACCGGGGAAACCAGGTTAAAAAAAACGCGCCAAGTACACTACCTCACAGGTATTTTAGAAAAATCAGGTTATGGCACAGAATTTAAAAATTATTTGCGACAAAGAGATCAGTCGTTTTCTGTTACCATTTCAACCAAAATAAATCACCCTGTACATATTAATGTTATTTATAGAAGACTGTTCACGGTAGATATACGTGGGAGTTATTTTTGTCGATTAAACGAGAAGTAATCTTAGCAAGTACAATACTATGCATATAGAAGAGTGAATTCTAAATCAGATTTTAATCAAAATCAACAACGGAGATTTAATACGAACCGTTTAAATTACTACGAAATGAGTTTTGCCCTAGAGGACAATCAAGACCCGTCGCAGTTCTCCTAAATACCTCTGGCTCAGAGTCAGAAATGCCACAGATGTTTCGAATGCCCACATAAATTGTATGCAGCGACGTAGTAACTGATATTTAATTTCTTTGCTGATATAGTTCAAAGGCAACGAAGTGAAATGCCTATAAGGGCTGATTTTATATACAAATTGCAGCCATTGCCATATTCTTTGCCCCCAAAAAGTTAAAATGCATGAGAGCAACTAATTTTCTGACTAAGTTGCTTTACATTTGCAATATGTATCAAAATAATATACAAAGTGGTGCACTACATATGCCTTCACTTACCATGAGAGTTCGGGAAATGATAAGAGGTGCAAATTTATTAGAATTACCTGCAATAAAGTTACACAATGATAGTTGATGCTCCTGAATAATGTTTTTTTTGTTTTCTTGTTACTTTCATAGATAATTAAATAACTTTAACACGTTCTGTATTAATCTTAAATGGAGATCCGTGAACAGAACATTTATAAAAAATTCTTTTTCGTTATCCAAATGAATATCCATAAGTATATCCATAAGACATATTTTTCTGTAGTTTAAAGAACATCCTTATTGTATTTATTTGTGGCATAGTCTTCGGTTTTTTCTTTATTTCTACTCTTTGTGAAAAAAAATAAAGAAATAATCGCAGTCGCTTTTAATTTGAAACCGTAAAAGATATATTATCACTGTAATTAGTCATTACTAACTACAGTAGTAGTATAGCAGTGGGGATTCATAGCCACTTCAAGGTCACTCCAGGCTGCCACCGGGCTGCCGCCATCCGGAGCCGGCACCAGGTCTCCAGCAGCAGGCATGGCGATGCCGTCCTCCAAGGTCACGCTGAAGAAGTGTCAGTGGGGTGCGGGGGTGGGGGATCTGGAATGCAGAAGAAGAAGCCGGGGTCCGTCATCGGCAATGACCACCAGGAGGCCGGCATCGAGGAGCGTGACGTCAGAGGCGGCACCAGGTGCGTGCATGAGCAGCGGCGGGGGGCAGCGGGGTGCAGACGTGCGAGGGGGGCAGCGGGGTGCCGGCTCCGGGTGGCGGCAGCGCGATGCCTGCGTCATAGGGGGCAGCGGGCGGCCGGATACGGCCTACGATGCTGGAAGCCGGCAGCGGGCTGCGGGGGGCGGCGGCGGCAGCGGTGACGGCCTCTTGGTATAAATCTTTTTGTTATAAGGTAGAAAATATAAGAAACCAGATAGNTTCCTAATGTAGACGGTTTTCGAGAAAGAATTCTTTTAATTGAACTCTTACAATATTACGGTGTAGAAAATAAGTGACTTTTCTCAAAGTAGGCTTATGTCAAAACTTATTGATGAATGTTTCATAAACAACGCATACATTCTCAGTAATATTTTAAACTCTAATTAACTTTATATCATAATTTTAGTGACTGTAATTAGTCATTACTAACTACAGTCACTAACAATCACTAAAATTTTGATATAAGGTTAATTAGTGTTTAAAATATTAGTATGAATGTATGCGTTTTTTATGAGCATCCATCAATAAGTTTTGACATGAGCCTACTTTGAGAAAAGTCACTTATTTTCTTCACCGTAATAATGTAAGAGTTCAATTAAAGGTTTTCTCGAAAACCGTCCACATTAGGAAGTTCTCACAAGACTACATTATTTTTATAAAATAAAATTGTACATTATAAATTGGAGCCCGTAAGGTAAAAAACCTAACCTTCAAAAATTAGAACTTAAAATGTAATAGGAATGTAGTATAACTAGCGCCCTCTATTAAATATCCAAAAAATAATTAGACCAGCGTATTTGGCGTCCTTAAAAACCCCGGAATACCAAATTTCATAAAAATATTTGGCACGGTTTGGAAATTTTCGTAAAAATTCTATTTAAAAATGTTTATTTTGTCGCTCTGTATCTCAAAAACAAAAGGAGATAGACATGTAGTTCGTACGACAAAAACTCCTGAATTTACGGGAGGTCTTTCTGAAACACCCTGTATAGGTACTTCTAAATTTGAATAATGCTATTTTTTCCAATTTTTTATTAAAAATATGTACATAACATGAAATTTTCTAAATTAAAATTTGCAAAACATTTTCATATCTCCTATGTGTAAAATGGAAACTATTTTCACTATTATCTTATAAATGAAACATCTGAGTTTAATCTAAATTGAGCTAAATGTTACTGATTTGTCAAGTAGGTACCTATATACGAGTAGGTTAGAATTTTGAATATTTTAGGTATTCTCGAAAATTAACTGCGCACCGCAGAAAAATATGATTCGTGTTCAGCACCTTAGGCGAAATATTATGAAGACTTGAGCATCTTCCGCTATATTAAATAATTAATAATTTTTTTTTTTGTATTTGATGTGTGAAAAGAATAAACTAAAATAAAAAAACTCGCGTAAGTATGCAACCCACTCCACATATATAAGAACTTCTTTACTGAAAACTGGTGGCTTTAGATTCTTGGTTCATTATCACTTTTTGGTCTAAAAATTTTATTATATTTTTAAATTTAAAATAAGTTTATTACACAGTCGAATAAATTTAAAATATCTCTAATTATAAGACTACTATTTGCTTCACAAAATACCATATCGGAATTTTTTGTTTCATATTTAATTTTAAATATAATCCAATAGTTTTCAGATAGTTAGAACTTTGTTTGGCAGTAATTTTTTTTTGTTCCGCCACTATATATTTTTTTATCAAAGCAGTTTCAGAGCTATAATTTAGATTTATTTGAGAGTGTGAAGTGTATGTTTTAAATTCCGATCAATATAATAAATTAATTAATGGCTTGCCGTTTTGAATTTAATGGAAAACTTCATCGTATGTAAAATTTCTCTTAATACAATTTCGTTCTTTTCAAATGTTTTCAAAAAACTCTCGATGAGGGCTGAAATGTATTTGAAACGAAATTAAATCGTCACAAATGACACATCAGTGAACAGACTTAATAATACAAACAAATATGTATGTTTTGAAGAAAGGACAGTATAGTCTTTCCGATATCAATTGAAGGACCAAGAGGATGAGAGTATCTACCAGGTTCGGTCGCTGACGCAGCATCTCGGCATTGAGATATTTGAAAAACTTGTTCCCATATTTATTTAGCCATACCCATATACAGGTCTGGTCGAACTAAATGTGGAGGTGGTAGAAATGTATACGCACAGTTGAAGAATGCGAATGAAATACAAATACAGCATTGGGCCACTGGGCAATAAATCTCAGCCGTTGACAAGTGGTCGCCAAATTGCCCAGCAGTGCAGTGCAGCAATGCGGAATTTGGTGTGATTCAGGTAATTTTAATTTATTATAGGCACATTCTATTAATTAATCATTGATATTACAATTGCGAAAGGTAGAAATAATATTATTACATGGCATTTTGGAGACCTTTTGACGGAACATAACGAAATTTACCATCACTATAATAAAATTGTTTGAGGATATAAATAATTATTAAAATATGTTGTTGGCCAAATGAACATATAATAGAAATTTTTTGCACATTATATACAAATTATTATAATTTTTTACCTTTATCTATCAGAAAACTTTTTTAGGGACGTCTATGAAATTCATTAAATTTTATTGCCTGGCGTTTTTTACATGTTCAACTGATTTCGGAAAGACTATACCTATGACCTTAAAAGAATTATGTTGATGAAAATAAATCGAAAACGAAACGTCGGACGCCAAAATGACAATTCCATGAGAAAGTACAGGTGTTGCCACGAAAAAATGTTCCTTTTGTAATTCTAGCTCAAACGATAAAATGAAATAGAAAATTGGATGATTCGGGTTTTCCAAATTATCTTAAAAACAAAAAAAAAATATGTCAAATTTGTTTACGTCACTTCAATGATTCTCTAATGGCTCAGGTTTTTTCTAATTTGAGCCACCCTTTCTGCATTTCCAATATCTTCATTATTGTTATCTTGGACACAGTGTATAACAACGGACCCAAACATTGTTTATAATTTATAATAGTAATAGTCGACTAAATTTAAATATATACATAGTTTTAACAATATTGGCATTGTTTGACGTAACGCTATAACTTGCGTCTCTATTATGTTTAGTAAGCAAAGCTAATATACAGGGTGTTAAAAAAAGAGTGTAAAATATTTCAGGAGGTAATAGTATGAACCAAAATAAGCAGAAAAGTCTTAATAAACATGGGTCCGCAAAGTAACGGTTGCGGAGATATGGACCACTATTCGTTTTTCAAACATTTTATTTTATTAGGAATAAACCGACAAAGGAAGCTTTTAACAAACAAAAAACAAAGTTACAGAAGATGTTCAAAGTGCCCTCCGTCCATTTCCAAGCAGGCACGACATCTTCGTCTCAACGATATTCGAACTCTTTCGAAAACACCCTCCTTGGTTTGGATTTCTTGACACTTTTGATTAATCCGTAGCTGCAGCTCTTCCAGGCTATTTACAGGAGTACCATACACTAATGTCTTCAAATATCCCCAAACAAAGAAATCTAGAGGGTTCAGATCAGGCGATCTTGGAGGCCATAAAACAGGTCCGGCCCTTCCTACCCATCTATGTGGAAAAGTTTGGTGTAAATGCTCTCTAACGGCCATGGAAAAATGAGCTGGAGCACCATCATGCTGGAACCACATTTGTTGCCTCTGATTCAAAGGAATGTCTTCCAAAAACTCATACAGTGTGTTCTGCAGAAAGTTGAGGTAAGCAGCGCCTGTTAATCGGTTTGGTAAAACAACAGGACCTAGAAACCTGTCACCTACAATACCCATCCAAATGTTTAATGAAAAACGTGCCTGATGTCCAGATTCTATTAGAGCATGAGGATTTTCGTCGGCCCAAATATGCGTATTGTGAAAATTAAACACTCCATTTCTTGTGAACCCGGCCTCATCAGTAAAAAGAATGTTTGCAAGAAAACGAGGGTCTTCAGCATCATGACGTAGAAACCAGCGGCAAAAAACCAAACGTGCTTGATGATCATTTATTGGATTTAAGGCCTGTACTCGTTGCACATGGTATGGATAAAGCAGTTGCTCGTGAAGGATTCTCCAAACAAGAGGACCACTAATTCCTACCTCGGCTGATATTCTCCGCACACTCGTACCTGGATTCTGCTCTACCAGTGCTAGAATTTCTTCTTCTGCTCTAGGAGTGGATACCGACCTTGGTCTTCCGGATAAATGGCACTGTTTGCTCAAGGAACCGGTATCACGCAATCTTTGGTGAATTCTTCCAAACATGCGTTGTGAAGGAATCTGGCGATTTGGATAAGCGTCAACATAAAGACGTCGCGCTTCGGTGGCGTTCCCATTAGCACGACCATACATGAAATGCATGTCTGTTAATTCTGCGTTAGAGTAACCAGCCATAGCGAAAGAAAACTTGTGCACTGAGAACAACTGTCAAATACGTACTGTTTATTTCACTAAACATCAACCAACTATTATAAGAAAATACACAACGTTTTTGCAAAATAAAAAAAGGGGCTAAAAAACATAAAACATTCCATATCTCCGCAACCGTTACTTTGCGGACCCATGTTTATAGAGACTTTTCTGCTTATTTTGGTTCATACTATTACCTCCTTAAATATTTTACACTCTTTTTTTAACACCCTATATAGTGTGACCTACTTGAGATGGAAAAATGCTTTCACTTCGTCACCGTTGATCCGCACTATCTCCCTTCATATGCACTGTAGGTTGTCTACAATTTATGTATTTGTAATACATGAATATTACAGTGGCGGCGTACACAAGTATTAAATGCATTTTAAAAAACTAATTATAAACGACTATTTATTTGATTAAAAAAAAATCAGATTCGTATTCAGGCGAACACGTACTATTACCCCTAAAAAACGATCCTCAGTTAAATTTACGCCCTGTATATGTATCTTCTGTTTTTCCATTTGTAATAAAAAAATGTATATATATATTTTTTAATGGGGTACACATGGTGTTCACAAAATGAAGAAAATTTTTTAATGGTAGGTACCTAAATTGCAATAATTTTCAGTAATTTAAACCCTTAGAAAGGCAAACAATTAATCAACTTTGTTAAAACTTATTGAAATCTCTGAAGTCGTCTCCGAGACTACATAAAAAGAGGTGAATATTAAAAAAATATTCCAATTGCAAAAAATATTTCAGCCAATTGAGTTTTTGCA